ATAGTCAAAGCGATTCACTATTTTGTAATACGAAAGGTCGTAGAAAATGTGGTTCCTGAAATTATTTCTCATTTCCTTGAGGCACATCTAGTGCAGTTAAGCTCTTTTGTATGTTACCTACGCCCGTACTCACAATCCCCAAAGACCGCATGGAAAGAGTGCTCCTGAGAATTATTTCGGATCGGATCGCTTCCAGTCGAGTACGACAACGGATGAAACCCAAAGTCAATCTTGCATTGTGGGATCCATAACGAAGAGATTTCATGGTTCGGAAAGGGACCATACCAGTGAGAATATATTTTCGGAAGGACAGAAGATGCCTTTGTGGTAATGAGGGCGGGGGAGGGGCGAGTGAGGGGGTAAGCCGCGTAGTCGCTGTGGCGCACAATATGGCGTAAAACGAGAATCACCATGGCTAGCGTAGCAGAACGGATGCTTCTAGTGAATGTACGATGCTTCCAAGAAGGAAAAAACTCCTCAATATTATAATTTGAATCCATTATCGTGCAAAAGGTGTGCTTACTTGACAATTTTCGAGATTTTGTTCACCCAGAAATCTGAAGAGAGGCCCGTGAAAACTTCGGGATATCGTGAGGGGAAAGCGTCGATCATTCAGCCACGTGCATACCGTTCGCCGTAGATATTCTAAAAGAGGAAACCTTGAGACGGTAAAGGTTTTCGAAAAAAATCACCCGACCTCGATCTTGATGGTTGGTCTTAGAGAGATCATCTCCAAGGATTCTTGTGTGCTCTTCAGAAATCGTCACTCTTCCAATCCGCGCCGCATCTCCAAGCCTTCTGGCATTGTCCGCAATGTAGTGAACCGAATGTATGGGTATCTCATTTTCCTAAACAATAACTGAAGAGCTTGAAGTGAGAAAGTCTAAATAAACGTCGCGTACCGCTGAAATAATGGTGTGTTGCCAAGGAAACTCATCCATTCCCGCATAGCAAGCATTTATGGCTGAGAAAGTACCGTGAGCGGTGCTGGTGTCGTAAAGGCCGGGTGGTACAATAATGTTCATAATACATTGCCCAAGTGTTCGCACCTGATTCAGTTGATGTTTTCTAACAGCAGAGAGAAACTTGAAAGGGACATACCAATTTCTCAAAGTGTGCCGAGGCGCTGCTATCAATGACAAAGCAATAGAAGTGGAGTGGTGAGTACATCATCGTCAAGACTTCTTCCAGAAAATCGTAGTTCTGCAAGCAGCCGTTGAAGCAAAATTTGAATCTTCACACTTTTTGGGAGAAATTTAAAGGCACATAGCGCAATCACAAACGCTGAACAAAGGAGTTGAAATAGCGGACAGCAGGCTAATTGATTTGTCCGCGAAGGAATAAAATATAAACCATCAGAAGCTTTCTAAATGAAGCTCTTTCTTTTTTTTGAGTGGAGGGAGCCCCTGGGAGACAAACAGTTCAAGATGAACTGTGTGCCAGGCGAAGGAATGGCCGAAGAAGAAGAAAGAGCATTGTAAGAGTGGGACACAGATGCCACAACGGTGGGTGTGCACTGATCCATAAGTGAGGATCGATGGAAGCCTTAAGCCTCTTGCGTGTATCTCAAAAGCTTGTGGGAGGGGGGGGGGGGCCCTTCTCTCAAAAATTTCGCTTTGCGAAACACCCATTTCCCGAGTCTCAATTCGTTTTCTCCCAGATTTTTCTTGACCAGTGAACCCTCTTACACCTCCACT